TGATTTGTTTCTTTTCTCTCACTGCTTGTAGAATTTTGTTTTTCTGTTGGGTTTCTGGAATCTTAACAATTATATGCCTTTGTGTGGATTTTTTTTGACCAAGGCTATTTTTTGATTGGAGTCCTATATGCCTCACTCATCTGTATGTCAAGTTCTTTTCCCCTGCTTAGGAAGTTTTCTGCCATCACCTCTGAGAACAGTTTTTTTATGTCATCTGCACTCTCTCCTGTTTTTTCATTGACTCCAATCAGTCTTACGTTATTCTTCTTTGCATCATCTAGCAGCTGCTGGATTGATTTCTTGTGGTCCCCCACTATTTTGAAGCAATTTTTCTTTTCCTGGTCACTAATTGCAGTCTTATCTTCTATATCTGAAATTCTGTCCTCAATTGGCTCATTCTGCTGCGTAGACTTTCAGTGGAGTTTTTAATCTGGAAATCTGTTTGCATCTGTTTTATGGATTCCATTTGTTTCCTATATTGGGATTCCATCATGTTTCTCAGCTCCTGTATTTTTTTTTATGTGTGTCCTCTCTAGATTTATTAATCATGTCTTGCACTATGGGCACAATCTCTGCTGTTATCTGAGAAATTATTTGATTTCATTTTTTCCAGATCCTATTTTGTTGCCAGTTCAGGGAGTCCAGTTGGTTGAGTATCAGATTCTTCCATCTTGTTTCCCTTTAGGGTTGCTGTAGGTGATCTGGAAATCTGTTTTTTTTTTAATTCTTTTATTGGTACATTTTAGGTATACAATATGTTCACATTTATCATTGGGTGCTTGTCGCTGTACATGATGTATCTTTGTTCTTATTTTTTCCCCATTACCTGTGCGTCCTTTGCCCCCTCCACCCTTCCCTATTTACATAGATTTCATTTCCATTTTTTTTCTTTTCTCATAGTTTTTCCTTTCCCTTCTTCCCCTTCCCCTTCCCCTCCCACCACCCCTATACCTTTGGACCTTTTCCTATTTCAAATTATCAATTATTCATTTTAATCATTTTAATCCTTATTTGGAAATCTGGTTTTGAGACTTGTTTATGTGTCTTCTCATTTCACATGGGTGTGGGGGGTGTTATATGTGCTGCTGGCACCTGTGCAGCTCACCTTTTCGGCACTGGGGGTGGTTCTGTTCCTTAGTGCAGGGGGCTCTAGCCTCCCTTCTAATCTCTTCCTATTGTTATATTTCTCTATTGTTTCCCCCTAATCTCTTTTAATTATTCTCCCCTAAGGGTAAAATCACCATACTGAGGTCATATTTACTGTATATAATTTTGCTTTGTTTTAAATTTTCTTATATAACCACAAATCTAGTTCATACAGTAAAAGGTGGCAAATTAATGGTTACCACAGTTTTTCACTTCTGATGGGGCACAGTGGTTTACAGACCTGACGGTAGAGCGGAGGAAGCTGGTCTTTGTCACACAGCAACATCTGCATCTATATGATGTCATGGTTGGTTATTGACTTTGTATCAATACTGAGTGTAGATTGCTGAGGCAACATGCTCTTCCCTTACTACTTGCAAGCACCCTACATGAGGGGCTGTCAAGAAACTCCATGGAGGTGATGTTCTCTGTGGCTGCCTGATTCACAGTGGGTTACCATGAGGCCCAGCTGCTTCCAATAATTGTCAGAACAAAAAGCGACAAGCATGTAAATGATGGGGATGGGAGGTCAGTCAGTTCCTGTCTGTTTGCATTTTTTTAACCTTAG